ACACACACACACACACACACACACACACACACACACACACACACACACATCCTTATGTCTGTTTATTTCATTTTACCAAAAGTTGAACAAATCTGCTCTGTAATTGTTTACTAACCAAAAAATTCTAAAAATGGTCCAGAACTGATGGGTCATTACTCACTTATTACAAAAATCACACATTTATTTATTTATTTTTTAGCATATGTAGTTATAATTTATTGGGTCTAGATTATATATGCTMGACACACAAATTCAACAACAGTTCCCTCACAGAATTTACTGATTACTTGATTTGAGTGTCAGTTTGATGCAGCCACTCACAGGACAGGTTTTATAATTGGTACTATCGAAGTAAAGCTGCACACTGATCTTTGAACCCTCTGCCCTCCACTGGTTTGAAGGATTTGGCAATGAGCACAGATGCAGAAGGTGAGAAGATCAAGGATCCCATGAGGCTCATTGTTCCAGTTCTCCTGGACGCCAACGTCAGTGTGTTTGACAAGATCCGCATCATCTTGCTCTACATCTTCCTGAAGAATGGTCAGAATCCTTCAGTACTTTCATTTTTATGTACCAATTCTTATTTCAAGTTCAGATAAGCGTGCATTTAGAAATATTGTATTTATTTAACCAGGAAGTCCCACTGAAACCAAAAACCTCTTTTTCAAYAGAGACCTGGCAACATAGTTCCCACATCACAGTRACACAACCAAATTTAAACTTCAAATAGAAAAACACTAAAAAAAAATAGGAACAGGTGCCAGTTATGGAGTTAGTCTCAAGTCCTTTCATTTTGGATTTAGAAGTAATCAGTGACATTAACTCTGTTAGGTTTTAGTTTTTGTTTAGTTTGGATCAGTTGGCTGTATTCTGATATCTGCTCAGCTTCTGTAAGCATGCTCACTCTCATCACGCATGTTTGTGTTGCATGTGTGGACTGAACATGTACGCTGCATGGTTTTATATTTCTGAATATATGTCAGGTGTGACTGAGGAGAACCTGTGTAAGCTCCTCCAGCATGCCAACATTCCACCTGAGGACAGTGACATCATTTCTAACATGGCCCACATGGGCGTGCCCATCGTCTCAGAGGTGAGCGGCCAACATGCACGACCCCAGGTCCTCAGTCTTCCTGAACTATCTCACTGGACTGTAACTGCTGGAGACTAGTTGGCAACTCAAACTTGCAAGAACATAAAAAAAATTGAATAACAAGTGTTTGTGACCATGTGACCTGTTGTTTATGCTACTGCTTTTAGAAAATCACAACCTATTCACTGGTCAACACAAAAAAAATTGTCTAAGTTTTTAAAGCTGACTTAATAATATCTTGATAAGCTGAATCCTAAAATCACGTTTGTTTTCCTCCATCAGGTCAACTATTTGAGCTATAGGCAAATCTTGATTTTTTTTACAGTTTTGTTTACATGCATTTTTAAATTTCATTTCAATTTTGTTTATTTCATGTTCTAGAAATCAAATTAGGCTTCTTATTCAGACTGCAAGGTAATGAGTGATGTCATCAGTTGCAAAACGTCATTTACTTAATTTGCTTCCGCTCATAGCATTTTAGTAAGAGTAAAGTGAAAAGCCTCTATATTGCTTAAAAATGAAATGGCTTCAACCAGAAGATCTTGGAAAAATAAACCTGATGTATTCTGTTACATCTGAGGTGAACAGACCCTTGTGCCTAACAGGAATCCAGTCACAAGTTTCATAAAGCGTGCTTACTATGCTTATTTTGGTATGAAACATGGAGACCAGGACAAAGCTTGGGCTGCACGTGATATGCAAAGCTTGCACTGAGTGCGTTAATGGACAAACGGCAAGAAGAGTTGTCTGAAACAGAAGTTCAAGCCCTAATTTTGGAACATTGATGACAGTAACATGCACTTTACGTGTCTATAACATTAATTAATTAAT